ATTTGTTGGATTTGGTTTTGAGATAAGTTGAGTTTTTCATGAGCTGTTAGATTGTTCCAATTTAATTGTAGGAGTACTTTGGCTTCAAGGAGTTGTGTGAGTTGAGTTTGATATAGGTGTTTCTAAGTATCCCATTTGTTCTTGGCAATTTTGATGTTTTTGGCTTGGATTGCTTTGGCTCTAATCAACTGAGCTATTCCAGCTTCATATATACATTCCATACTAACTTTTATCTATATGAATTTTTTCTTTACCACATAGAATATTCTTCTTTTATTTTGATATGGAATATATCTAATACTATTTTTACATTTGTTGACATAGTATAGAATATAAACAATAAGCTATAACTTTAATTTCTAAATAGAATCAAAATATATTTAAAAAATATAACTTATAAATTCTAACTAATTATTTATTTAGCAAGTATTATGAAGTTGTCATGAGCCCAAAAGTTTGTGCTCATTGAACTTCAAACCTTTACGTGAGTAGTCACAAAAAACTAATCATTTTGGAATCTCTTCACTAGAAAAGATTGCGGAGGATATTGTCCATATAAGCTGAGCAACTGAAGCCTCTTATCATGGACATACACATGTAAGCTAGTAATTACCTATATAAATAGGAAGAAGTAAGTAGAAGTACGTAAAAGTAAGTTAATTCTATAATATCTTTTATAGAAGCTTCTTAGAAGCTTCTTAGACATTGCTTTGACTTTATAAGTGCCTATAATTGATTTTTTGGATTAAAAAAGTAGTCAACAAGTTGGCCATGTGCCACACATATTATTAGCTTGAAGACCAAGCTATTTATATGGCCTATACACAAAAAAACTTGCCTTGTAAGTCAAGATATGTATCCTATAAAGTCAATACATATTAGAGGTCCTATAGAACATTGCCACATAGCCTGTACTTAGATAGTATATATAGAAATAAGAGTGAAGTTTTCTTCACTTTTATCAACTCTTTTCTTGCTTCTAGTCTAATTTCAAGAGTCTCAAGTTTTCTTGTCTTCTGAGAATAAGCTATTTCAGTTTCTTTTTAATATGCGTACTTCTTTATTTCTATTTTTTTACTCTTTCTTTTATACGAATTTTACTAGTTTATGCATCATCTTTTAGTTCATGTCCTTGATACCTCCCTACCTTGGAAGCCAACACTTCTGTGTTATAGATAGTTAGAATAATTTCAGCCGACCTTGAAATTTAGAACCAAATTCACATTCTGTTTTTCATTATTGTCGTAGAATTACGACTAAGAGATTGCTCTTTTAAGGTCTTAAGATAATTCCACATCAACTGAAACTCATTTTTGCCTAGGGAATAAAAATAGCTCCAAGTATAAATCCCAGTGTCATACTAGTGGTTAAATGATATTCTGTGCCACAATATTAATGATGTTTTAAATGCTTCTGATCATAAGAGGGATTTGTGTTCAAAAACAGTATTGAGAAACATAATATGATGTGCATAGTGCAAGTACTTGTGAACAATTGTGTACCATACCATGTAGAAGATGTTTCTAAGGTTTTAGTTAGGAGAACTTAAACCTATCACTTAATGCAAGAATAGATTCATTGCTTAACATAGAAGAAAAAAGTTGAAGTTTAGTGGGTGAATTCTACACTACTTTAAGGTAATCAGATTGTAATTTTAATGGAGTTTACCTGATTGCATAATTTCCAGTGAATTCAAAAGATATGATATTTACATGTCTCTTTTTTGCAGCTGCCTTCACATTGTTATTTCCACTCAATTAGAACATTGCTTGCAATGTAGATTCAGACAGAGGTTTCAAAGAAATAATTATAGCAACATCTATCAATAGTGCAAGGCTTAGAGTTCAAATTTGAAATTGTAAGTAGAAGGTTAGGAGCCTAAAATATTTTTTTATATTATTAATAAAAATACCTGAAATACCAAATATAAAAATAAAAAAATATCCTAATTATTCCTCTCACTGATCGACATTGATTACCAACTGCATGTCTTTTGACGTAGAGTGTCAACTACATGATTTTTGATACAAAGAAATTTAGTAGAGTAGATGTATTTGTCTTTGTTGTTAAATTCCACTCCTAAAGCCTGCAAATGTGAAGAATTTCAAACTTAATTTCATTGTAATTACATGAAAAATGACACAACTTTGTGCAAGCCTATGCAAAGGTAACAATGTCACCAACACAATTGATTAGCAAAACTAACTCCTCTAAATCATGAACCCTAAACCTAGAAGGTAATCATATGTCTATAGTAATTGAAACTATATATCACAAGTGAATCTATGAAATAAGCTACCCACAAAAATGCTACAAAAAAAAAAAACTTATAGGATGCAAAACAAAAGCATAGCAAGTGTAAGATCGAACAAAATATTTACCAACATAGATTGCAAACAACTTACCTTCAAATTAGGAATAGAAGGAAGGATAGCCTACAAAATAATTTTGGTAGCATAAATAGAAGAAAAAGAAGAAGAAGTAGCAAGGCCTTATATAATCAATCCTAAGACAATCATCCTAAGACAATCCGTTTCATATAAGCCATTGACAAACATTAATCTCAATTGGCACAATTCATAGTTGCTTAGAGTTATAGAGTCTTAATCACTTAAGATGGCTCGAGTGTCAAACAAGATACTTCTTCAAAAAAAAACTCAATTTTCTTGCAAGTCCAATCAACCACATACAACTTTTTTCTCTTTTCCTACTAAAAGACAAACTTGTCTAACTGTCTAGATTGCCTCTTAGGAACAATTACAAGCACTTGTAGCATGATTATACAAGAGACCTTCAAAAATTATTTAAAAATCCTTCCACGAAGCGAATTGATGGTAGCCAATTGCTCAACAAAGATTGAGACACATAACAACAAAACTTACACAATTGAGATTTTCTATGACAACCAACAATTCATCTTTCAAATTTAATATATAGATTCTTTTAAAAAAAACTTTTTTTTATGCATAAAAAACAATCATATTGAAAGCTAAACCATATAGATATGATTCTACAAGGAAACAAACTTACGTTGATTCACATCCTCGGGGATTGCTTCAACAGGAGTATCTTCTTTTTTTTCTACCATTTAATTCATTTTTATAATCAAGCCCATCACATAAAAACCTCTACCGCAATCTTGTACTCTTCTACTTTCATATACGTCAAAACAATTACTCAAAGGTTACAAAAACATATCAATTCAAAGCTTGAAAAATCCTAGCTTGAAAATCCAACTTCCAACAAATCTAGTTACCAACCTAATCTAACTCTCTAATACATAAAATAAATTTTTAAAATTTCTTTGCTATAGAATAAAGAGCCTATACCTAGAAAAATTGAACAATTGAGTAAGAAAAAAAGATGTCTTTACAACTCAACAATTGACAAATCCAACAAAACAAGTTTTATAATTTGATCACAAAGCTGAAAAACCTCTCACAATTTCTACAACTCAATTGAAAAACAGCAGGGGCTTAAAGGAAAATACAAATACTTGGGAGAAGATCTAAGGCCGTTTTAAAGTCCAAAGAATCCAAAGAATCTCAATTACTATGGTATTGCAAAGAATGTAACCTATTTATGTAAGAAATGGTTATATCTTGCTAAATGTATCTATGTTTTTTCAAACAAGGATGTTGCTGATACTCTTGGTCTTGACTCTGGAATGTGGATGAAAGAAACTTTGTGGACAACATTGTATTCATATGTATACAAAGAAATTAATCTACATCCAATTATTATTGTGAGATCTCACTTGCTATCTCAATTTTATGGGTAAAATTCACTATTGCAGTACGTAAATTATACCAATTTTGTGATGTCTTCTTATGTTTTTTCCTCAAAGTTGAACTATCTTTACCCAATTACATTGAATTTGGGACAAATCATTAAAAAAAGAGGAATTTTGAAGATACAATTCCAAATATAAAAATATAAAAATAAAGTTAAAAAAAATAAAATAAGAGGATGATAAATTCCTTATGTTGATTAAGTGTAAATAGTATGTACAAGCAAGATCCACAAGATTGGTGACACAATACAAAGTGTAAAAAAATGGTGGTAACTTGAAAAAGAATTATATGACATTAGTTTTGCAATGAAAACACAAAATTTATTTTAAAGATAACTGTAAATATGTAAAAAAATAAAATACATAACTATTTTTTTTATTAAATTAATAAAAATAAAAAAATATATAATAATATCATAATATATATATATATAAATAGAATTTTATTTTTATTTTAAAATTTTAAGTCTAAATATGTCAAAAAATATCTTAATTTTAACCATTGTATCCAAAAAAAAAAAAAAAAAAAAAAAAATGGTTTCATTTCTTTTTGAGATCATTTTTAACAACTTTAGTGCTATTTCAAACAAAAATAATTGGTTTCATTTCTTTTTGAGATCATTTTTAATAACTTTAGTTCTATATCAAACAAAACAAACAAAACAAACAAAAAAAATAGGTACATGTATATGTATATATAATGCTTTATCCAATATGAAAAAATGCACAATTTTTTTATAAAAATGAGACACATCTCTAAAGAAAACCAACTTTAAGATAGGCAATTCAAACCACATCTGTTAATGCATTATTTCTACAATAGAATATTTAATTTTGATTCCATTGAATTTTTTTTTTTTATCTTTATAAAACATCTTCATCGTGGCTTATCGAAACAAATATTAACGCAAATGTTTGCAGTTAATTGAAGGAAGTTAGAGAGTAGACAGAAGTCAGGGGTCTAACTTTCAGGTCTGAATCGAAGGTTCGGCCAAAATTTGCTGTGAAAAGAAGTTTCTCCAATCGTCCCACCCCATCTTTCATCACCCAGTTCAGAGCAGCAGCTGCATCAATTGTTGTGCACAATCCTTATAAATCAACGCAACAGATCAACTCCACCCAGAGTGGCGCCGATCACACAACCGTAAAGCAAAACCGTAATCCTCAGCGGCTAAAACCAGTTGAAAACATATGCGTTGGATTGCAGTTCAGTCGACATGGGGGCCTCGTATTAGTTGTTGATGACATGAAATTCGAAATTCGAACTTTGAACTTCGAAATTCGAAATGTTTGCGACTAGGAAACAAAACATAGAAAAATGCACAAGCAAAACAGACAGAAAACGGTATGAAATCCAAGAGAAAGAGGAGATTGGTAGAGACCGATACTCGAAGTAAATATTAGTTTCTGGTTCAATGAAAACATCAAATGGAGGAGCTGCAGAGTAAGTGTAAGGCTGGGAATGCTGACCGCATTCAAAGCGACCATAGGATTAATTTCAAGCGCGATCACAGTTCTATGACCGCCAGCAGACGTATCAGCGTGGATAGGTAAACGCATCAAGCAACAAACTACTCCCGCATCACATTCTAGCAAATGAACCTTTGCTGAAGTTGTGAACACAGCTCAGGGATTCCCGAATAAATATTAAATTCATTCGCTATTTACAACCCATTTCCAGAATCCGGGATTGTTACCCCCCCCCCCCCCCCCCAACCACAGCCGTGCCAAAGTTTTTCAGATGTCATAGGTGCCACTGATGCGATTGACCCAATACTCCCTGTGGCTGTGCAGGTGAAGTTCTCATCCTTGGCGTGGACGCATCACAACAAGGACTTCGTCTACAACCGTTATCCAAAACCTACGTCTGTTCTTGTGTCTCCATTGCTGAAGTTGTGCTATAGGGAGCTTGAGTTTATGACACTTTGTTAGAAATTTTTCCCAGCCCTTCAGATCTTATGATGTTCCTTTACCCGACTAAGATGACATGTTAAATGACAGTATGAACGAGATTGAAGACGAAGGCACTGAGACAGATTCAAACCTCTTCCAAGAATTACATTATCACTTTCTGGGAACTGACCAAAGTCAAGATATACTGTGTTGGAGAGATTCTGAACATGCTGAATGGTTTTCTCGTGCAGAGCTTACTTACGATGGCCAGGTAATTTCGTATTAACTTGTGCTTGAGAAATAAATATACATACACCTTTCTCTTGCTGTTGACTAGAATCTACATACCAGTGGAAAATGTATTTTGAATTTACTATTATCCTTCTATTATTGTCACTATCCACCCTTTTGTAATAAAAGAGATACTCAGGTTACAAAGAGGTAACCGTGGCAAATACATTTTCTTCTTGAAAAAGAATTTTACATCTGGTTGTATGGTTCCAGTACTTGGTGTTATCCATTGAAGAGAGTTGTGACCCAGGCAACAGACTCTACTACTACAATCTTTCCACTTTGCCTCGAGGACTGGAAGGGCTGAGACAAAACTGATTGATAAGTTCGATGCTCAGTATGGGCTGGTTGCAAATGAAGGATCACTTTTCACCTTCTTGACCAACAAGGATGCACCCAAGAATAAATTGACAAGGGTTAGTCTTGATGATCCATCTTCTTGGAAGGATGTGGTTCCAGAATCGGAAAGTGATGTCCTTACATCAGCTGACCTGGTTAATAGACAGCAGTTAGTCTTATGCTATATGAATGATGTAAAACATCAGCTTCAGATGCATGACCTTCAAAGCGGTCATTTGCTTCAGAAATTACCTCTTGAAATTGGCTCAATATCCGAAATTTCAAGTAGACCAGAAGATGCTGATTTCTTCTACAGTTTCACAAGCTTTCTCACCCCTGGAATTATCTACCGATGCGATTTCACTTCTGGAACTCCTGATTTATCAGTGCTGAAGGAGACTAAAATTGCCAATTGGGATAGATCATTGTTTGAGATTCGCCAGGTACAGATTTATGCTTCTATTCTGATATTCTTCTCTCTCTCTCTCTCTAACTTTTCGTATGCTTGCTGTTTTTTCCTACTATTTTCCAATTCAAAAATGACCTATACTATTATTGCCCAACCTCTCAACTTCGACATTTGGATTCTTATCCTTCAAATTCTCCTTATTGGAGTACTTTTAAAAATAAAACTCTCTCAGCTAAAGACCAGAAATTCTGGATTGCGGTTTCTTACATAATTCAAAATATGCAGGAATTTGCGACAAGCAAGGATGAGACTAGAGTGCCTATGTTTGTGGTTGCGAAAAAAGGTCTGGTCCGAAACGGAGATCATCCAGCTGTACTCTATGGGTATGGAGGCTTCAACGTCAGTCTGATGCCATTTTTCAGTGTGTCTCGGCTGGTGTTAGTCCAGCATTATGGAGCAGTAGTTGCAACTGCAAATACCAGGGGTGGAGGAGAATATGGAGAGAAGTGGCACAAGGCTGGTGCTCTAGCAAATAAACAAAACTGTTTCGATGATTTCATTGCATGTGACGAACACTTAATAAAAGAAGGATATAAGCAAAATAAAAAGTTGTGCATTGAAGGTAAGAGTAATGGAGGTTTGCTGGTGGCTGTCTGCATCAATCAGGTGCTTACTGTTAACATCTCTGTTTTAGGGCCTCTATAAAGAAGATTTATTATTTGATATTTCTAGCTTAATCTTACTCGGTAGCATGCTGATCCAGTTACTCATCCATTCGATTTCTCGCACTTTATTAATGATTTTCAGTCTTATCTGCTCTCCTCCATCATCTTTGCCGAGACCGGATTTGTTTGGGTGTGCTTTGGCCCATGTGGGTGTAATGGATATGCTCCGATTTCAGAAATTTACTATTGGTAAAGCCATTGTAGTGGTTGCCTTTTTTTCACAAATATTGCATTAGATTTCTATTTCTCATTGATCTTAGTATATTTCTGTTTTTGAAGGTTTCTGTTTCTGAATGCGTGAGAGCTTTCAATAATGCAAAAGTTTATATTCCTTGGTCAGGTCATGCGTGGATTTCAGATTATGGTTGTGCTGATATTGCAGAGGAATTCGACTGGCTGATCAAGTAAGCATCCTTTTGCATATTACAAGCATTTCATATCGTATTTTAAGTACCAGTCTCATTGCAGTGACGAAAAAAACAATTTCTAAGCAAACTTAATCTTCAAGTCAAGTGCATATTTTGTGTGGACTTAGTGAGAACATGAAGTAATCGAGCTGAGTCTACGGTTTTGGTTCTACTTCATGTTGATCATGTGTCTTCTTTTGTGTAGTTATAGCCCATTGCATAATGTAAAAAGACCATGGGAAAATGGTACCAAGTCTATTCAGTATCCCGCTACCACCCTATTTACAGCAGATCACGATGACCGAGTTGTTCCCTCACATTCATTGAAGCTTCTCGCTGTATGCACTCTTAAAAACTTTCTGATTTCTTCTTTGATTCTATATTGAATACTCTCAAGGATTTATCCGAAAAATCTCTCTTCTCCTCATCAGCTATTCATTGTTGTGGGCGGACAGACATTGCAGTATGAACTTTGCACTAGTTTGGACAACAGCCAGCGGACAAATCCAATAATAAGAAGGATTGAAACAGGGGCTGGTCATGGATCTGGTCGCCCAACCATGAAAATTGTAAGTCTCAGAAATGGTTTCTATGTCTTGATACCTCGACTTGCATCATTTTATTTTCACTATACAAAAATATTTCAGTGGATAGGGTTCTCCAGATCAACCTACTGAGTGCAATGAAAATTAATTTAAATTATCATAGATTGGATGGTTAACTTTTTATTCAAGTTATTATCATGCTGAAGACATCTTCCTTGATGTGCAGATAGATGAAATGGTGGATGCCTACTCTTTTTTTGCAAAAATGACGGATTCTGCTTGGATTGAATGACACAATTGATGTATATAGCCATTGAACACTTGCACCAATTTTTTCAAGTGTATGCTATGACAAAAGAAGTTACCTTTTCTTTCTTCTTTTTTCTTAATTTATTATTTGATTTTTCATGTTTTCTTTTCGATTCAAATAGAAATACGTGTATTACAAAGAAAATCAATAACAAACTCTCTGATCAGTTATGGACAAAGATAGGTTAGAGCGATTAGTTAAAAAAAATGAAAAATTAAATATGTTTTTAGAAATGTAAGAATGGCAAGTTGCAATTAAAGTTGGTTGTCCTCCTAATATAAAAAATTTGAAAATCTATGTCATGTTCTAAATTTTGAACAGAGTTTGGTTTATTTTATTCTTTTGACCTTTAATGGGAAAAAAAAAATGTACTTTTTCTAGAATCTATCATGTTTGATTAACTTTTGAAATGTATTCTATTTAGCTTTTGGTAATGTTTTAAAAAAAATCTTATTTTTTTTTAAGAACTTTGGAAAAATATCTAAAATTTTCTTTATAATGAAAGTCTTTAAGTAAATTGGAATATTAAAGGTACTTTGTCTTATTATTAATTAAATGTATTGACCATCTTGATAAATCAAATAAAAAAAATCTTTAAACTTGTGAACTAACAATTATGCATCCGTATCTATATATATATATATATATATAAATATATTTCAATTAAAATTGTCAACTAAGCATATAATGATTAACTAACAGGTATAAGTTATGTTGATTGTTAAGTTCCAATTATCATATTTGTTAGGAAGTAAATTTGTGTGTGTGTGTGTGAGTGAGTTTAAGTTGCATTTTTTTAAGTTCCAAAAACTTTCTTGGTCTAATGTTAAAGCTGGAATTAGTTGTTTAAGCTTCACTTTTATTGATTTCTGAGGTTAAATCTAACTTGATTTAGAGAAAATTAAAATAAAACATATAATTGAGAATGTCTTAAAACATTTCTACTTCAAGTCACAAGGATACTAAATGAATCTAAAAGTGATATACTATAAACTACAATATTATTATTTATAATATTGACATTTATGTTGTTTAAGTATATTAACTTCTTGTTTATATTGGCAATAAGAAATATGTTTATATAACTTCTACAATACTTCTATAAATTCTGTAATATCATTATTATTCTTTACATTAATAAATAATATACAAAAATAATATAATTATATATATAAATATATAGATTTATATTTAATTGAAAATTTAAAGAATTTGGCTTCCTTATCCTAATCTAGTCTTCAGAGCTCACATATAACCTCTCTTGTGTAAAATTGCAAAGCTTTGTAAAAATACTTTTTGATTATATTGTGACATTTTGGGACAACCACTTTTTTTGTTCTGCTTCAAAGAATATCTTTTTAGTGTCATACACAATAGCGCTCAATGTACATGATACTATCGATTCCAGGAAGAATTTCTACATCTCAAAAAACTCATTCGTTAATTTGTTTTCTTCAGCAGGGATATTTTATAAACAAGGGACTCAATATTGATTTAACTTGATTCGAAATTGATTCCCCATGGGAGTGGTGCCCAGAGGAGGGTGGCTTGGACTCGTGCCCCCCCTGCCCTGCGGGCGTCGAGAGTCGTGCAAGCCCAAATTTTAAATAAAATAAAAAGGAACATTAGTACTTGGTCTTCAGTGGGCTTGTCTCTCCAACCAAAAAATATTGAGTTTTCTTCGACGATTAACATCAAGTGTGACTGGGGTCCCTGTGGGGCTTCCACATCAGCAGGATTCAACAACTGGTGTTGAAATAGAATCTTCGACCAGTTCCTCCACCAAACTCCATTCTTGGGTCTTCAGTCTAGGATTTCTTGAGGACATGCACCCATACTACACAAGGTGTCGGCCACTTGCATCAAATGCCTGGTTGTGAATATATTATTATGCTTTTACATGTATAGATTTAGTTTTGATTATTAGTATAAAACCCTGAATTTGCGAGCTTTTTTTTTACCTTATTTTTATTGTGGTGAATGATTTTACGAGGCTTTGTAAGCGTAACCAATGAACCTGTTTCTATTCAAGTGTTACAAATATACATTAAATATGTTCTAAACGAAACTATTTAATATGTGATGCACCAGGCTTACCTCCTTCTCTTATTCTCTTTTACCTTTTTTCATTTTATTTGTTGCACAGATGGACATGAGTAGCAAATCAGGAATAAAAACGAATAAAATATATATGTAACAGTATATACAGATAAGAGTTTATTTTCTACACAAGAAAAATGAATCAAGCACAATTAGGTAAATTATGAAAAGATTAGTTAAGGAAGAATTATTTGCATGAGTTCATGCCAATGTCCATGGTTCCTAAGTCTTTTTCTGGAAATGGCATTCTAAAACAAACTTTGCAAAAATATGTACGAGAGCACCGTCATACGAGTTTGGTGTGACCACCGATTTCATTTCTGCTAGATTTGGCTAACCTAGCTTGAAATCTTTCTTCTCGAAGATTGCAGAAGCTCACAAATCCCATGATTTCAGGGACTTCGATTAGGTTTCGAAGAGGAGAATATGAGAAGACATTTGAGGTTACGAAAAGAACCATTCGCATTATCTGATTGAATTTTAGACAAAGCACCTGTCAGGGTTTCAATGACATTTGTAGCATAACAGCAGGTGATTGACAACCGGAAATTTAATATATATATATATATATATATATATGTGTGTGTGTGTGTGTGTGTTCCGCATAGACTTCCATTCATCCATGAAGCAACTTCCGGAATCCTGGTGCGAAACTAAGCCAGTTAGCGACGAACGTGGACAACAAGAATAGGATCAAAGCACACCCCTTCGCCCTCACAGCCTCCAAAGGATCATTCCTCGACTTTCGTTTTCCCGGTGCAGCCATTGAACGGAGCTACTACAGTACCGTATCAGCGCTGGTCTGTATTGAGGAGTTCGTTAGAAAAAGTATCACTGGGAAGCTCCACCGTAGTCCTAGGGGATCACTGGAGCTCCAAATGCTATTTCGGTTGCGTTACCGCTCTCCTCTCAAGCAAGCTCCTCTGGCCCTCCCAGGGCCGCCACATTATTTCGGGCAAGATTTGGCTTGCTTTGCGGCCCAACGAAACCGTGGGTTTCTTCTGGGATGCTTCCGTTTTTTTTTTTTTTTTTTTTTTTTTTTCCCCCCTAAACCCAGTCCTGCGCTTGCAAACATAGTCGAAACCTTCTACGTAGTGAGCCTCGTACCATTGTGCTTAGATGCTGAAAAACAGTTTGTATTTCCCGTTTTAACAGCACTGCACTGGATTAGTCTCCACTTGGGTCTCTTAGTTTATCACCAAATAATCGACGCCCCTCGCATGATACAATCCTGTGGGGCCTGCCGAGGTCCAGCAAGGGGGAAAATTAAGAAACATTCTACAAAGCCAACAATAAACTGCCAAAACGAACCTAATTTTGAATTGGTGGAAATTGGAAACCTGCTGGCTCAGCTTGAAAATTAGCGGGCCACGGGCCATCAAACGCCAACATCTATTTTTCTCCCCATGTTGGGGAGAGCGTCCCCGGAATGGGCGCAAGGGCCGTCGATGCTACTGTGGCCCATGGCCGCGATCTTCACCATCACCCCTCCCCCCTCATCTACGGCGAGTTTCATTTCTGAAGACTCATACTTCCGTATGGATTTTAATTTTATAATTTTAATGATATTTCAAAAACCTTGCTCCAATGTGCTAGAATTGAGTTGAACATCAGGTGTAGACAATGTCTCATGTCTATGTTCACTTTGATTAACTGTATGCAGAAAGCAGTGACCATTAAACTCTGGAAAAAAACTGCCACTCTTTTGCTACTTTTGTGTTTATTTTTCCCTCTCCTCACAAAGCAAGTGTGATATCATCCATTGTTGCAAATTGCAATGAATGTGTGAGAAGACTGAGTATGTGTGTGTGGGAGGGGGGGGGGGGGGGCTGCCAGAGATCTGGATTGTGGGTGCACCCGATGTGCCGCAGGGGAGATCGATGCAACAGCACACAACAATCATTGGGATTGCACACTCACTCTCACCCCCTCTCTAGCACACACTCTCTCTCGCTCCCCCCTGCCATCCTCTGCCACTTCAATCTCTGCACAATCTTATGCGAATTACTCTCCACACTTTCCCCGTACACCTTTCTCTTTTCAACCTCTTCTTCAATAAAATAAGGTAGGTTTGTTCAAAACCAGTTTTTTTTTTTTTTTTTTTTTTTTTTTTTCTTTTTGGTGATGTTCGTGACAGTTCCTGCAAACCATTAACCTGCAAATGAATTTTTAACTTTAAAGTTATCTCATAAACAAATACATTTGAGGTCAAATTTTGCACTATGTAGCAACAAATTATACATACCAAAACAAATAAATAAATAAATATTCTGACAGATTGTTTTTCACAACTTACATAGTAAATTATTAATCAAAATTAAATAACTTACTGAAGTACTTTTGGTCAACAAATTATTATTTCCAGCTTGGGTTCACAGAATTTTTTCAGTCAATATATAAAACAATGCCAAACCTTGATTCAATGTGTTTTTTAAAATTGTATTACTTCAAAATCAGTGAAAATTTTATCCTTACATGCATTGTACATTTAGGTGTACATTCAACTAAATTAAAACAAGGATATAAAAAACCAAAACTTTCAATAAATAGTTTCCATTCCTTATGACTTTTTGTATAAAATGAAAAAATATTTTAAAAAGTTGCTAAATAAAGTCATATTGAGAGAAGAATTCAAATGTTGCAGATAAAATAAAATAAAAAATCATTGTTAAAAACCCAAAAGATTTTAAGTTGAGATTACAATGATACCAAAGTTGAATTATTTCACTATATACATGGATAAGTTTAAATCATAATAAATATTCATTATTTAAATTGACATGATAGGTAATTTTTATTTTAGTATTGTTCATAGAAAACATGGATATTGTTAAGACAAAACACATATGTGACACCTACACTTTTCTCCTCTATAAATTTACATAAGTATATATACATATAT